TAGGGACATGGTTTAGTGGGCATGGTGGTGTTGGGTTGACGGTTGGACTCGATGATCTTAGAGGTCCTTTCCAACCTCAATGATTCTATGATTCTATGAAAATAGGGATAGAATTGCCATATTTTGTGAAGACTGTGATGTTTGCAGATTAGCAAAGTCATGTTAATGAGATTTTATTGCACAGTATTAGCCACAATAAGAATTTCTTTAACTGCTAATAGTCATCAGTAGTGGCGTATTCTAAAATTTGTCACAGTCTGAGTTGAACTGAAACAATGAGGTAGTGTTTCAATTGCACATACAGACAAAAGAAGCAGTCCTGGATACAAGTGAGCACCAAAGAGAACTTATTGCAACTACAAAGATTAAATCTCACCAACCCTGTTGATTACAAATCATAAAGATGTTACTCTGAATCAGTATCTGAAACTCCAAGTCAATCATGCTATAAAAAGCTCACAGAGCTTTTTCAATGTACTATGTTTACGTATGCTCAGATTCTCTGATGAACTTATTGGGATACAAAGAATATAAAGTTGGTGTGATTTACTTCTGCCAGCAGAATATATCTCCTTTTTTTCCTGGTAATTTTTTTCAACATTTTGGAAAAAAAAATCGCAGGCATGGACTTTATTTATTTAAAAAGTAAAAAAAGACATTTTTCTGCTTTCAGATGCTCTGGTCATCTAAACTTATTTTGTCACCTTTAAAAGGTAACAAAATACAAGGCTTATAAGAAAGCAGTGGACAGAAAAGCAATCATCACGTCACCTTATATTAGATGACTGCAGTTAACACTGCTCATCACTCAGCCAGTCAACCGACTGTTGAATAAAGGAACACAATGGGAGAACAGGAATGGCTCCGAAACTGAACTCAGATAAAATTCAAAGGAGTCAGCCAACTAAGGAGAGAAACAAGTAGAAAATCCTTTCCAACTGATTCTGGCTACCTACCTGCATTCTTTAAGAGCTGTAAAGTACATTTGGAATGAAATGTCTTGTTCACAAACTGTAGCCTTTGTTCACAGTCACTTTGGCTCATATTCTGTTTGTGCCATATTTACAGAAATAGTTGTCCTTGCCTTCATAGGACATACGCCTACCATTCTCACAAATTCAGGCAGAGGAGAGGTCCTCTCACTATAAACATATAAACACCACCATCCCCAAAGCCATCTCCCGCAACCCAAGAACTTCCAATACTCTGCTGAAGTAGATTTATTTGACTGCATACAATTAAAGCCCTTCTCTGCAAGCCATGGGAACTCTTACATCACTATTTTCTAGAGGAAAAGAAAATTAAATAAATTACATTTTACTGCAAAGAAAAAAAAGCATTTCATGGAATAGTCAGTTGAGATCAGATGAATAAATGTCATCCCTGAAGCTATGAAAGAGCCAGAGGAAGGTGTATTTACCTTGCCGGAGATAGTAAATCACAAGATTCAGTCTTGCCTCAGGAATAACATCAACCAGAGGAGGCAGGACCTGCAAAGCCCCTTCTCCTCCTCGGAACACCACCTGCAGAGAAAAGCAGCATATTGATAACTGCGTATCAAAATCTTGTCTATGATCTCTTAATTCAAGGAAATTCATCCTTAAATTCCTACATTAACAGTAGGAAAAGGTCAGTGGTACTGGCATTAGCATAATCCCTGCTTCAATATAACTATATAATTACGACGTGTGACAATCTTTATTCGAAGAATATAAAAGTATTTAATCCATCAGTAAAGACTAATTTATTTCAGCTTTTAGCAGTTCAAAGCAGTGATACATTATATATCAAAGATTTTAAAGAGTAATATGGTCCAAGACAAGAGTGAGGGGAACACATACAGAATTACAATTTGCTTATGACATATTCATATGAAAAAAATTAGGCTAACAACTCTACATTTATTTAGAACGCCACAAGATCCTAAAATGATCAGGAGCAGTCGATTCCTTATACTTCAGTTTCACATGACAGTTCCTCCAAAAAAATCTAACATATTCAATAAACCACTGGCAAAAGACCAACATTCAAAATAAAGAATGTTAACTTACAGAAGTCCAGTTTGAAAGCAGTTTTAACTCTTGGGGAAAAAAAGTGTTAGCTTGTTGTGACTGGTCTTGAAAAACAAAGCAAGCACCTGCCCATCATTAAATAAGAGCAATCTACTGTTACCGGTTGTTCAGCAAAGTAATAATACCACTGCAGGGAAAATTAACAGGTGATTAGTGACTCTTACACTGCAGAACACACAGTATTTTGGCTTTTATCAGCACCTTTTTCCCTGTGAACCCCTTGTTAAGTACTTTTTGGATGAAGACCATTTTCCCAAGTTATCTTAATTCCACTCACATTGTTGTCATACTAAATAAGAGTGCAGGGTCATGCATTCTGACTTGTTTCTACAGCGTCCTTATTGACTGGGCTCCACAAAACATCTTGCAAAGGTATTCTTACAGGACATAAATTATTTTAATATGCCTTCGGGGGTAAAAGCAACAGCATTATTATTTTCTTGACACAGTCTCAAACTGGCAGGGAAAAATTCCAGGAGAAAAAAAATACACTTGATGGTACATTGACTATACAGGTAGGATTTCTGGAATGGGACTTATATGGCAGCAGAGATTCAATTGGGTCTGCAATTCCCAAAATATTCCAATTTATGAATCATCAAGAAAAGCTCTACAAATTAGTTAAATCCATATTAAATCCGAGAACAACATTACTCACCAGATTGTGCCTAATGAGCTCCTTGCCAAACTCAAAAGACGATGAGGCACTGTCCGTCAAGTTCTTGAGCTCTGCCTGGAATTACATACATTCCAAAATTTTAACATGAAAACAAAAAAAGCACACTTGCATAAATGGAGCTTCATATGAGCCCCAAAGCTGAGAGAAAGACATCTCCAGCAGTGCTGGGTCACTGGAAGATTTTTACCTTCCCACTTCTATGTGATGATTTTAGCAATTGGATAATAGACACAACGTCAAAAGCGGACTGGGAAAACTGTAAGACCACTGTGCACACACGTGGACAGATGGCTTAATACCAGGGAAACTGAAATGGGTGACATTCCTAAGAGAAGGACACAGTGACAAGATAAAGGCTATTATCAACATTACTAATTAAGACAGATAACAAGGAAAAGAAACCTGCATGGAATCTTGAACTAAAATAAAGGTGAACTGAAGGGCTGTCCAATAGATACCTCAGCAGCCTTCCCATTGTAAAGTCGGAAGTGGTTACAAGCCTTAAGGTTGAGAGCAATGGTACTGTCAGGAACTTGCTGAAGATAAACAGCTAGCACTTCCTGTGATACATCATAGTAATCCAGTTTGTAATAGCATAGGGCCACATATACATTCAGAGCCAGGTATTCCCTGCAGGAAAGAGGATTAAAGAGAACGTTTAAATCCCACTGGATAGTTATACTACAGAACATTAAAATCAGTGATAAAGCTCTCACATGTCTATACACCTTTTACAAGCACATCAGAACTGGGGTTTCTAAGAAATGCTTATTAGGTATCTTTAGACCTCTAGTTTGTTAGATAAGATCGCACAGATCCAGATCCAGATTCACGTTAGATTTTTCAATGGCAGCTACTGCAGCTTTAAAGAATTATCTACAAAACCGTTGGTTTGCAAATCTGGGAAATGGTGGCAACTTCACACTAAGGAAATGCACAGAACATGAGCACTGTACTTGGCCTTGCAGAATAGGATTTTCTATGCAATACATGCAAAGACATTTAATATGCACATAAAACTTTGAAAATATTTTAATGGATCTTATTATCTTATACCAAGTACAATTATTTCAAAAAAACCTTGCCATTACAAGCTATCAAGCCAGAAGAACTAGACATAGAAATAAGACAGACATTTGTGGTAACAGTAAGTAAAAGGATAATTGTTATGAAGGTTACTCATTTAGCTTTGAGTGATTGCTTCTACAGGACTTGGAAGTTAGAATCTTTTCCCCAAGCATTACATCACATACTTATATACATTATGATGGACTCTCAGCTTTCTCTGAAGTATTCAAGAGGAGATACTGGCAAAAGATAGCTATGTATTCTGGGACACTAAAAGAAAGCAACAGACAGCAGACTTCTTTTTAAACATGCATTTTTCAATAATGATTTAAAATTAACAAAATTGAGGGGGCTGCAACTTGTGCACATTTTGCGGTAGGAAAGGTACATAGTAATTGGGGAAAATTCCTACTTTCAGAAACCAAGCAACTAAATGGAATTCAAATACCAACAGTATCAGAGACACTGCAATAAGGTTTAGAGTAGAGATGCCCACCGATTATCAAGAAGAATGCGTTTGTAGATATCAATAGCTTCTTGGTAGTGGGACCGCATGTAATGGATAGATGCCAAGCTAAGCTGATCTTCTGTAATGTCTTGCAGATTCTGGTGAGAGCTCATCAGTTTCTTCTCATCACTGAACTAAAGAGAGTGTGACACATTCTCAGAAGAGTTCAGCAAGAAAAACGTTTTAATTAGCTGGATTAGTTTTGTCCTTGCTGGCAAACAGCAGGTGATTCATATTAAACATCTGGAAAAACTGTTACTTTAAAGTTAATTTGACCAGTGGAGAAAGCCAAAATTAAAGAGGCAGACCAGTTGAAACTAGATAAATATGAAGCTAAAACTAAGTACACATTTTCCTTTAAGGTGTGATTTAGACATAATTACATGTCACATGCCTTGATGGATAAGAGGGGAAGAGCTGAATTATTTCACAAACAGAATTTTGCAACACAAGATTTGACTGTTATTATTCGAGCCAGCAGAAATTTTGCTGTTTGTAGATCCAAATCTTATTTCTCATGGATAGCAGAAAAATGCAAGACTTGCCAACACACAAGCACTAATTTTCACAAGACTTCTTTACAGCACTAACAAATTCTCTTTCATCAGCCCCTTAAAATTCCAGTTTCTTTAATGGTTTATTTTTAAAAGCATTGCTGTATAGCACATAACACACACACAAGGATAAAAACAAGGAACAGAGTTAAAATACCCATTATATTTGTATTACAATAGTAAAGTTGAGGCTATTCACCTAATCAGTCTACTCAAATCACTTACTCCAGTGCCTCCCTTTGCTTGTTCTGCTGATTCAACAGTAATTATGAATTTCTCTTACACACAACTTCTATCTTATGTATTTGTTTTTCATCTATCTGCTCAGTTTTCTTCAAATCCTTTTCCTCCTTCTTTGAGCCAGTCACAAAATGATACTGCAGTACAAAGGCAAGAGAAGTTGCTTAACAGAACTAAAGGCCATGGGCTTTATAGTTTCGTAAAACCCTTTGTTTCCAAAGACTAACCACATGAACTACGAATTATCCAACTTCTCTTTATCACAGCCATCTATAAGTGCCAGTGCTGCTACAAAAATGTTTTAAGATTTCTTTCTTAAACTTAATAAAGCTTTAAGTAAAGAGAATCTGACATCAAAGCTAACATTCAGGATTTATACTTTCTTTCACCCAAAACTCAGTCTCTTCAGTAGCACAATACTTGTTATAAGTATAACACAGGATGGCACAAATCCAAATTTAAGGGAAGACAGCTATGTGTGGTAAGTGAAATAAGCATTTAATTGTTGTTGAAATTAAAGTAAAGTATATTTCATGCTATAAACAATATTACTTCTTGGATATTGAATGACTTAGGAGGATCAGTAATAGCATATAGACCATTTTTCTCAAATTGCCAAGACAGCTGCAAGTTAGGAAAACTTGGTACACCTCAAAGAAAAAAAAAAAGAGTGGCTTACACATTTCTGATTTTATTCAAGTCCCAGGTTCCTCGTGATCAAAAATACCATCAGGTTCCTGTTGTAAGACTTAGGTGAAGTGAGTTGGTAAGACTTTCCTTAGATACGTGATGAGGGCATCTGTTCTGAGATCATGTTTTCATACTTACTTTCTCCTCCACATTTTAATACAGTAGGGTGATTGTGGAAAACGTTTGTTCTCCTGCCACCACAGACATTTTAATTATTCTACCAGGTTGCCAGCGTAAATTACACATTACCCAATTGAAAAGAAAACAAACAAAGCATGAGTGAAGAAAAGACATCATACCTTATGTGCCAGGTGAAAGAGTAAACGGTTCTGGAGACGACTCTTAGGTGCTGTAAGGAAAATTACGTAAGTATCACTGCAAAGAACAATTCAGGGTGTCTCTACTGTATTTTTAACTCCCTTTCTCAATAGACGTACATGCACCCATATTCTTTCATGAACTAGCCCAAGTACAGTTCTTTGCAGGTCATGCCCTGGGGCAGGTTCTACCAATTTTAGAGTGGCTAAAAGGCCTTCCTGCTTCCTATCTTCATTCCTTGCCCATTTCTTTTGAAATCCCTGTTGAAAATAACTTTTCATTGGCCTCTGCCTTCCATGAGCTTTAAAACTTTTATGAATTGCACTATCATTTGCCTGCAGGGCCTTGTCGATAGTTCTCTGTTTTTGCACAAGTGACACACAGCACAGCATCTTTTACAAAATAAAAAGCAGCAACAGACAAACTCATCATCAAGGCTCTTTCTATGATATGTCATATTTGAAGTAAGTTGTGATTCATAATTCTAGGAATCTTGTCAACTTCCAGTGTATTGCAAAACCCATTGCTGCTACCATTTTGTTATGTATGCACATTATATTATACTTAGTTCTAATATTTCTTCCGTCCTTAGGAACAAAAGGCACATGGAAGAATCCTGCAGTCAAGGCAGATAAGATTCAAACTAAGATATGGCAAGAGATTTAAGGGAGACATCTCCTTTCTAGAGCCACTAAAGTTCATGAAATTTCTTGCTCTAGTAGGATTAGGAATTCCATTTAACTCACTCCATATGACACAAATTGTTAACTGTAGAGCTTTAAGTCACTAGAGCCTTGTGCTTCACTGAGAGTGACAAAGGTCCTCATCCAACAGAGCTATTAATTTCTTTTGCAAGCAATCTTCCAAAAAGCCTTCCCTTCTTTCCTGTATTTTCTTTAGCCTACTTGGTTAATAAGCACTCTCATTCTTGCTCAGACCAACCAGCTGGCAACCTATGTTCCACAAAAAGGATGTACATGGAATCTTTACAAAAAGCAGAATTACTTACTGTGTTTATGAGGCCACAAAAGTGCAGAGTTAGCAAAGCAATGGCCTGTAACACAAGGCTATAATTCTTCTGACATCCTAAACCATGAAAGAGGGCTCAAACCACCAAAACCTCTTCCCTCCCACCCTACAAGACAGAATTTTCTAGTAATAAGTTAGATTTTTTTTTTCTTTAAAGCAATTTAAGGAGAGATTTCCAGACTTCTCACTCTTGCCCCATGTAGTAAGAAAAATTTGTAACACAGTGCACAATGCTAAAACCCAGGCCATTCTCATCAGGTTGGCAGTGTAAGGCTGTCCACCTACTTCTGATAGGCACAGCAATTATTTCTCCCCTTTTCTCCTTCCCAAGCTGTGTTATTTAACCATGTTCCTAGGAAAAGAGGACAGTGAATTGTATCTTTAAAGAACTGCTAGAACAGAGAAGTCCCAAAAGGCAAAGGCGGTATGAGAGAGTTCTCACAAAACCACAACATCTTGCGAGGTATTACTAACAGAGCATCAAGTTGTTAAGAAGCTAAATGGTCTTCAATCTAGGATATATGTGGGAATTCTCATTAGCCTAATTATTAAAGAGTGGAAAGTTTTTCTGATTTACAATCAATATTGTATAAGCAGCAGTAGTAGTATAACTGACATGATAGTACATTCTAGAAATTATTTCATCCATGGAGTTAGAAAGTTAGAGTACCTGAATTTAAATGCATGTTCTTCAGAATGTTATCAGCAATGATACTGTGGTAACTCCACATGTGCCCCAGCATTAATTGATAGGTTTTAATACCAAAATTTAGAAGGGTTGCACATGGACCCCACATGTGCTTTTGTGCGAAACTTAAACCAACCACAACCACCCTTCACAATTCAAAACATTTGGCCATCAAAGACTCCAAAAATACAAGCAGGACAGATTGTGGGATTTACACTGAAAATAACGTATCGTATAATCACAGTACTATGGGTAAAGACACCAGTGTTCCTTTTTTGAGTGTTGTTTTTTTTTTTTTTTGAGTGGGTTTTAGCATTCATTTCACTGTGAAAATTGTGAATTGCAAGCAATACTCCTTCAAGAATCTAAACCGAGGAATTCTTGTTTCACTGGTGAACCAATGACTGCAGTGCTGCCCTCGCAAACATGACATCTGATCTGACATCAAAATTATTATTTACTTCTTGGCAAAAGCTGGAGGGTTACTCCACGTTATTTTACACAGGCAAAAGATGAAATCTGAGTTCTGATGGTGTGCATGGATATACGGAGGGAGAAAAAAATGTCCTGCTTCATAAGATATTATATGATACTATCCATGTGATATTCTTTAAAATAAGACACTTTTACTTAATGTCAGCCAGAGAAGGAGAGGGGCAAACCCCCCCAAAATATAGTCCTGTCGATATAGTAAGCAGAACCATGGAAACATTCAGTATCAGCAGTTTCTTTTTCCCCAGTGCCAAATGCATTTTTTGAGGAAGACAAGGAAACATATGAACAAGGTCAGATTAGTTTCCAGAAAGAACTCGGTTATGAATATTGGATACAGCTGTTGTCAATCACTGGAGCAGGAAGAGAAAAAAATTCCTCATCCGTGTGGGATTTACACTGAAAATAACGTATCGTATAATCACAGTACTATGGGTAAAGACACCAGTGTTCCTTTTTTGAGTGGTTTTTTTTTTTTTTTTGAGTGGGTTTTAGCATTCATTTCACTGTGAAAATTGTGAATTGCAAGCAATACTCCTTCAAGAATCTAAACCGAGGAATTCTTGTTTCACTGGTGAACCAATGACTGCAGTGCTGCCCTCGCAAACATGACATCTGATCTGACATCAAAATTATTATTTACTTCTTGGCAAAAGCTGGAGGGTTACTCCACGTTATTTTACACAGGCAAAAGATGAAATCTGAGTTCTGATGGTGTGCATGGATATACGGAGGGAGAAAAAAATGTCCTGCTTCATAAGATATTATATGATACTATCCATGTGATATTCTTTAAAATAAGACACTTTTACTTAATGTCAGCCAGAGAAGGAGAGGGGCAAACCCCCCCAAAATATAGTCCTGTCGATATAGTAAGCAGAACCATGGAAACATTCAGTATCAGCAGTTTCTTTTTCCCCAGTGCCAAATGCATTTTTTGAGGAAGACAAGGAAACATATGAACAAGGTCAGATTAGTTTCCAGAAAGAACTCGGTTATGAATATTGGATACAGCTGTTGTCAATCACTGGAGCAGGAAGTGATACAACTGCCTCATCAGAGATAATGATTTTTAAGGGATATTAGGCTTGTTCTTTTATTACTCTCTACTGCTACCGAATTTCATTGTCATTGATCTATTAATGCCACAAGGAAGCACAATCTTCTTTTCCTGTCCTACTTTTTCAAGAAGATGACTGTACATTATATATATATATTTTTTTTTACATCAGTACTAAGCAATCTAGGGATCATAACAGACATGATGACAATGCTGCATGGCAACAAACTGGACCCTGCTCCAGGTCTAGTATTGGCCTTGTGCTGAAGACATCACTGAGGTAGCTGGATAGCTAGCTGTTTCCAGCTAGGAAACACACCGTTATTCCTACGCTATAATTTTTGTCATGATCAGTGCTGATGTTCCAGGCACTAAAGTCATAGTTGACATTGATCTTAAAAGTGTTCTGTATATTTTTATGTGCTGACACTGAACAGGCACCTAGTGAAGTATTTGTTAAAATATAATAAACAGCTCCAATAAGAGTGAAAGACAGTTATCTTCACTAATTATTAAAAAAAAAGTTAAGCTCACTAGAAATGCCAGCTCAGACTCTTGGTGGGTTCCATATTGCTGCCACAGGCAGTAAGAAGATGATGAAATACAGTCATGGACAATCTGGCATTTGTGCCCTCTTGTAAGAGTGCAAGGCAATGCTGGTCATGCATCCAGCATTAACAAATCCCATCTAGCAGACATAATGCATACACTACAGCAGCACTATACACATCAACAGATGTAGAACACATCTTAAACATACATAGCAGGAGCTGGTAGGAATGGAGTAGTGCTGAGAAGGCTCCAGCCTGACAGCATAGAAAATATGACCAGAGGAAACCTTATTCTCCTGTCCCTGAGAAACAACATCCTGCTCACCTGAATACAGTAGCTGAGTGAAACCCTCTGTGCCTCAGAACCACAGTCTCACTGGTGGAGGGAAAATGCAAGGGTATGGGAAAAATGTTTGGAAAAAACATGGTCCAACAGTGAGGTTCACACTTGAATAGCTCAACTGTTCAGAATTTTCTTGAATGAAATTTACAGAGGACATTCATTGAAATTTTCCCATTCCCAAAATACTTAAAAGCCAGTTCAGCTATGTTCAGTTACTTGCAATATATACACATTTCATTTCAGTCATGCCTAAGCACAGTAAGTTAAAGATCACTGAAGCAAAAAACTATCAATTATTCCTGTTCTGTAGCTTCCACTATACTTTAAAAAGCAAAACAAGAAAATAAGGTTAGTAGTTTTTAAAGTTTAAATATGTATAAATTGATATTTTCACTTGTGCACTTTGAAAGTTCCGTACGTCAAACTCTGCTGGTTCAAAACCACAGCTAAAATGCAATGAAAATGAACTACTGTTCTCAAGAAATGCAGTACAAGCAGAAAGCAGATAATTTTGCATGTAGGTGAACATGTAGTCTAAAGAAAAAGAAAACTCGGCAACTTCTCCATGCTTGCTTGTAACTGCACATTTTCACTGGTGACAACTATCTGACACCTGGCAAAAGTTAATACATACATAAGCAAAACTGGTTTGGAAAACGTCATTGTTCTTACTAACCCATCTCTGTTCTGCTTTTGTACAATACTGCTCCTTCCAGTGTAGGCTGTGAAATGAGAAGTATCTCTGTTCAGTTAAACCACATTCAGATCTGACACATGCAGAGTTGTGGAGAAGTAAAGTAATTACAAAGCTTTGCCCATCAAAAAGTAGAAGGGAGGGAAAAAAAAAAAAAAGAATTTTAATGACTGGTTCAGCAACACAACCCTGTCTGTGCATGAATCTTAAATTTAATTGTAAAATTCCGTTCATTCTAAAAAGACTGATTTTCATAACAGATTTAACTGCAGCCCCACTTACGTGCACATTTTGTCATTTAAAAGAACACTGTTAGTCCTTGTGTTTTTCTTAATGCAGTGCTAGCCAACGGCTTCTGAGAGCATTATGCAGGCTGCTGAACACTAGGATCAGTTGCCAGGATCACCGTGCAAGTGTGCCAGGCTGTTTCTGGTCCTTGCTCTTTGCAAAGCCCAGGAACTGGGAATGCAATATAAGATTATTTGTTTTTATAATTAAAAAGTAGGAATATATTATTATTATTTATTAAACCAAAATGAAGACTTTCAGCCTCATTCTCCCAAGACTAGATGGGCTAGCACACAGCATAGAAAACATATGTTCAGCCAATGTACGAGAGTGCAGATGCAAAAGGAGTAAACAAAGTATCACTTGGCAGCTTCACTATGGGATGACTATGAAACAACAGTAGCTGACTTAAAGTAACTCTACCTTCACCTCAGATCCAGGAACATTAGTAACTGTAATGTAAGGGGACAGCAGGGAAAAGGAGAAGCCAGAAATGTCTGAAAGGAATTTGGAAGAAAGCCTAGAGGAGATAAAGTACAACTGTAACGAAAAACCTTCAAAGAAGGATTTTTCTTTATTGCCTTTTTGCTCTTCTACTTAGGTTATATTTGCAGTAATTCTGCTTTATATGACTTTGATATACAGATTTATTCTTTCCTGAGAGAATGTACCATGAAGTTTTAATTAAGTAACAACAAGCTAAGAGAACACTTCACATCTATTATAAAATAAACATAAAACCTTGCTCCACAAGAGATTGTGGACTATATATCTTGTATGAAGAGCAATAATTACCTCATGGCTTTTAATGCTAATTTCCTAATTTTTAAGTATCTTGCATATTTTTCCTCAGACAGTTAACAATAATTGTCTTAAGCAACAGCAACAGTACATGGCAAGAAGGAACTTCTATTTGATTTCTAGATATTTACATGTTTGTGTGGAAAATCTATTCCAGAAAGCTAGCTGACATTTATGTTCCCTTTCACACAGAGATTCCATCACTTTAGAAATTTAGAATTATAGCTGAAAATAAATTACTTCTCCCTCATTTGTTTTAGGACTATGCTACTTTCAGGGGCTTAGTATAACTGCAGCAATTAAACAGCAAGCAGTATGCAAGAATTCAGGCAAAATAATCCCAAAATAGCAATGGTAAGCAGCCCAACACTAACACTATCATTTTTTCAGCAGTATTCGAGGCAGTACTGGATAAATGGTGTTCTTCTAGAGACTTCACCTGTTGTGTCTATATCCAATGAAATATTTTGCTTCTTCAGGATCTTTGCAAAACCATGGAAGAGATCACAAGATATGGCCTCAGCTGTCAATAATATATTGCAAACAGCCATTACTGATGCAATCCTAAGTTGTTAAAAAAACCTAAAAGAGGATCTGTCTTGAGTGAAAATAAAATGGTTCAACCTCAGTGTAAGAAAGACTGAAGTGATGGGAGTGGAAAGGGGAATATACAACACTTGGAAGCCTTCAATGGAGAAAGGACAAGTGTTACAAATCTTCAGTGTGACTGCCTCCCCACCAAGCTTAAGTAGCCAGAAATCATCAGTATTACAGTACTCGCAGGAAAGGTTTAGCACCTCACTATAAAAACTGGCATGCTGTCCTTCTTAAACAATTACATAAAATCAGGAACTGATATTACTAGTGTGAGCACTCAGTTATTCTCTGTTCCCCCCTCAGCTACACTCCCTACGTCTTGCACTCCATTCTTAGTATTCCTGCCCTTTCCTCCAGCACCCAAGTACCACTAACCACACCCCCTACCCTGCCACTCACCATGCTACTATGAACTAATCTAAAGGGGCACGAAAAAATTAACCTCCCCTCACTTCCAGCTCACGGTTAATAAAGGTGCATGCCCAGCTGTGTATCTGTCATCTCTAGAATGGATTACTGTAATTCACATGATGTGAAGCTGATGACAATGACTCCCAACTGGTACAGGATGCAGCCGCTTGCTTCCTCCATGGCTTAGGTCAAAGTGACACCTCATACTCTATTGCCCAATTATTTTTAGATTCCAGTTCAAGTCCTAGATTGTAATCTCCAAAGCTCAAATTTGTGGTACATTAAAGATCAAATTATTATCTGTGAATATCAGAAATTTATGCACCTCTCGAACAATACAGATCACAAAGCTCTGTGTGAAACTTTTTACAGTTGGAAACGAAACATTTCCAGTTGTGGGATTTGAGCTCAGCATGATCTTTCAGAGGATTTTAAAAGGATACGAGAATCTAATTATTTCTAAAAAATACTACAAAACTGTCCTTTTTGAAGGCACTCCTCCACAGTAGCAGAAACTACACAATTATTTTCTCCCTACCCTATTTGCAGCCCAAGACTAGAAGACTAAAGAAAGAAAGGAGAAAACCCATACTTCAGTAAGAGTTTTATCCTAAAAAGGCAAGAGTCAGAAGCTGACTGAGAACATCACTACTATTAATTCTACTTAGAAAGCACTGAGATACTATGGTTATGGGAAACAATATAAATCACTGAGATAAATAGAAAGTGATAGGTAACAAAATTAAACTGCAGAAACATTGTTAGGGAGTAAAAATTGCCGTGGAATCTAATTTCCATTCCTTCTTTTTAAATGATCCCATGCATGTTCAGATTAAAGTAGAACTGTAACAATGTGACTGCAGTGAACTCCGCGCCTTGAAGAATCAGATACCTAATATCTGACTTATAAGGCAACAAGACCACCTACTAAGTCACTCAAACTATGTAAACAGAGTTCTTGTCCACATCAGGGAGAACGCTGAACTCTCTCAGATGCTTATTTTTTGATCGTTTCACTAGCCTAATTAGCTTCATCTGCACTGGCTCAGAGACATGGAATCAGTCAAAAGAAAAGTAACTTTTTGTTGCTGGTCAGCATATGCTGCGTTTTGTATTTAGAAATTAATAAGAGAAATTATTTTCCAGATGCTTCTTTTAGTTCCAGCTGCTCCACCTGCCCAAGGTATTTTTAGGAAGCAAACTGCATCATAACTATCCTGTTAAATGAAAAAAACCCCAAACAAAACCCCCAAAACCAACAAACTTTGCTCAAAAGTATCCTTTATTCCTATGAAAAAAAAGCATTGAATACTTTCTCTGGAAATCACTTTAAGTGTTCAAGTCAAGAAGTAGTCCTTTCCATCAGAGACACACATCTCACCTTTCAAGGCTGCTTGTTCAGCTTGCATATACATCCCCAGAAAGAAGTACGTACAGGCAAGGTTCACCCAAACATCTGGATTGCAAGCTGGTTGTTTGGTTAAGGCCTCATATTCCTGAAACAGAAGAGAGGGTTGATTTTAAAAAAATGCATAATAGCACGGGCTTGTATTAAATATCATTCTTTCTTCCACCATTTTACAACATATCATTAAATTATTGAGATCAAATGACTTATTCTCAAGTTCATTGCAGTTCTTACAACGAAACTATTACATTTTAACCTAAGATAAGTCCCTAGCTCTTTTTTGTTTACAGCAATAGAACAGAAAACAGGGATGAGCAGTGCTATAAATCTTCACTGTAGGAGCATGAATTCTGTCAGGACTGAAGTTATCAATATATAAAAATTTATATATATTATTATATATTTATATATTATAATAAATATATTATATCTCTTTGTGAATACTTACTGGAGCAAGTGTTAAACATGCTTTTATAAACCTGTAGGTAGTGTCAGTATAGATTAAAACAGTGGTCTCCAAAGTGGGGTGTGCGCACCCCAGCGGTCGTGCAAGACAATACCATCGGGTGCAGGAAGAAAATACTTTTTGGTATCATTAATAACTAAAATAAATATTTTTAAAAGTGTTTATTTCATCTTTATCTCACCCTTTTTTAATTTCTATTTTTGTGTAGGTTTTATAATTACACAATATATTAGTGCAGTAGTACATGTATTGAATTTATAACTATATATATGTATGTACATATACTGGGGGAGCGTGCTTAAAAATTTTTTACTCATAGGGGTGCATGATCAAAATTGTTTGGAGACCACTGCATTAAAATACAAGCCTACAAGTCGGTATTGGGCAAATTCAAGATTTCCTAGTAGATAAAGATATAATTATAGTAAATATTACTAAACTGTGCCTAACTTCATCATTTCCCATTTTAAGACTTACAGCCAACAGCTATAGAAAACCACTAGATACCATATTCTGATATTTCTTACACATCCACATTCATTACATATCCCTTAATACTGTCACATAAACTTGTGTTTCATTTCTTGCTATTTGTGAAACAGTAAAAACTTAACAGATCAATCTTTCAATCTACTTTTTTAATGAAGAAAAACTTTGCAGCTACCAAACAGTGATATTCCTGAAGATAAACATCTTTGCTCTGCATAACAATAGGTACTAAAAACAGAGGCAGGGAGACCTCTCGGTGCCATTTTTTTCCCCTCTGTCAGGTTTCTGTTAAATTCCTAGGGAGGCCCATCCCAGTGAAAGTGCCTCCTGCTAGTGCTTCTGTTCTCCATCCAGCCATGTCCAACAGGCAGCATAAGGCAAAGCAGGCAGGGTCACGCAAGGTTCTCACAAGACCTGCTGAAAGAATGCCATCCACATACTTCCCAACCACCATAAGCCTCTCATCCCTCCCAGCAACACAACCCCTTGCCGACTCTGTACTCTTCCTCCAAACATACGAATTGGAATTTCCCTCTTCCTAGGGAGAGTTTACCAGATTGTGCCACTGCGGGTGGAAGACTTCTTACCTCTGGGGGAAAGGCACAGATACATATACATATAGCACTAGATAAAATAAGCCATGCCCAAAGGACAGTGAATCCCAGGAACAGAAACATGCTGACAATAATAAAGTTTATAGTTTGCAAGCATAAAGATTTTTTTTTTCTGTTGCCAAGCGAAAGTAAACTGCACTCCCAAAGAGAGAAGATATTGGTAAGGTATGCCCTTAAAAGCCAGCTCAGTCTTGCTAGTACTTCAGGGACTAGCTGTCCTTCAAGAAGATTTAAAATAAATAAAAAATAAAAATAATAAAAAAAAGAAAACATTTTCATAGAAGCCAACCTTTCCTACTGAGGCCAGTTCAGTCTTGACGTAGGCCTGTCATGGAGCTCTGAGAGACAGGCCACTGCTGTTCATTGGGACCATCTGGAATCTTTCAAAATCCGTTCAGATTAAATGCACCCAATGGTCTCTTTCGGCTATGGCTTCAGGCAGATTAATTAGAAAAGACAAAGTGCATAAACACAAGTCATGTTCTGGCTTGGCCATTCAAAACAAGCAATAAATAAAGAGTGCTCTAGCAGTACCAGTGTGAATCTATGGAAACACAGTAAATAAAAATGAGGACTGTTAGTGATCCTTACCCTGTAGTTCTGGGCCATGAGCCCAGACTATGTGCTGTTGCCCCTTTTCTCACTGAAAGGCATTCAACATCAGTCTCTCAAAGACTACTTTACATGAGCTTTCCCCAATCCTCTCGAAAAAAACAACAAAACCAAACAAACTAAATACTCCAAAAGCTTTCCTAACAGTCAACCTGTGGCACACTTTTGCCAACCAGGAGCATAACAACTTCTTGCTATTTCACCCTTCTCTACTTCTTGCCCCTAACACGAGACACATGCGCTTTTCCTCAAAAGCAGGCTGCCAGGTTGATTGCCTACAACTATGGACACCTACTGACAATGCTGAGGCCAGCAGGATTCTGCTCAGTGCCCTTACTACTTGTCTGGATTCTCCAAACCCATAAACAGACCCTGAAGAGCCAATAAACAGGCCAACCTATAGGGCTGCCCAACAAGTGGTCAAAGGAGGTATGGAGATATTCATCGTGTGGAGATAATCATCATGACAGAGAAGCCTAGAGAACTTCCCGGAGCCAAAAATCCATCTTTTCCTTTCCAGCTTCAGCTATCAGGAACTTGAGCGTACCTGTATTCTCACACTTCCCACAGAGGTACTCAAGCAAGACCAGATATTGCTCATGGATGAGCCCTTACCCTAGTATAGCCCTATACCTTTCATGATTCACTGACTGAAATTATCTCGAGCCAAGCCAGGGTAGGCAGGAGGTCCCATCCACCGAAGAGGTGGAACAGCTCCTGATTCTCTGCTCTCAGATAGGACTGTTTGAATCCCTGGATGTAGTTTGTGAGATTTTGACAGAAACAATGCATTGAAGGCTCTGGTCCCAGGATCATGCTTTGCTGTCACGTGTGCCACTGATGGGCCAAAATGGCATTACCATGTCTGGCAGCTGTACCATGCCAGCATCCTGTGTGCCTAAGCCTGGTCAGAGGGTGCTGAGTGCAAATGTGAAACCTGTTTTTGAACCCAACCTAGCAGTGCACCTGCCCTTGCCAATTCGTCTCTTAAATTGTCAGTACCTCAAATACATCTTATAGCCCTCCCTTTCTTAGGCCCTGGCTGCTTCAATTTATAAGATCAGACAGCTCAGAAACAGAATCATCGGACTGATGCTCTGATTCTGGTCCTTGGGTGAACTTGAGAAATTTTTCAGGAAAGGTTTAAGATTAGTGCTATGAACGAGTCATGGCAGAAAGACAGGTGGGTTTTTCCCCATTAGGGATAGTAGATATGGAAGATGAGAAAACTAATTAGGTGCTGCTATCCACTAGGGGAGTTCTGGTTGCCATATGATGCCAGGAAGACACTAGCCACTCAGTGTTAGTAAAAATCAATTTGTCAGTGAAGGAAGCTAGACAGTCGTCAGGGAGGGACTGCCACCATGACTGCTGGAAGAGTTGAGTCCAGTGCAGTACCATCTGTAAATTGGTGTACAGCAGTAGGGATGATCCCACCAGACCACTGTCGGTGGCATATTCTTTGAGAAAGGCATCTACCTACTAAGAAGGGGAAAGTGTGACCCTAGTGAAGCTGAGGTTAGTGCTCTACCTAGAGAATACCTGACTGTTGGTGTGCCTACGATAAGAGAATGTGAAATCTCTCATGTGAATGCGCCAGATATTTTGCTGTCATTCTCTCTGAAGATATTCTTGAAGCTGGAGGTCTGTGTGTTTTTCATTTTTTCCCTGCTTCTCCCAGTAGTGGATGATGGCCACCTCACCCCAATTCCCAAGCCTCTCCAAAAGTTGCCATGCAACCAGCATGCCTGGCTCACTATGAAAGTATCATTATAAATAAAAGGATTATTCAGCAGCATAGTTTCTGAAGACCCTCATCAGGTATATGGAACACAAGCCATGAACTGGGAATATAGCGACACAGACTACGCATTGTCACTCGCAGGTGCTTAGGAGTGTGAACCATTTAGTTTGTGTGTAATGTCACTCCGGAGAATTCTGCAGAATCTTCTATCCATAGTATTTATTTACAGTGCTCTTGGCACTCCCCAAAGAGTGCTCCAAGATCTAGAGGGTATAGATAATAAAGGAATTTGTCCTTGAGAACACAGCAGCAATGCCTCTGTAACATAGCAGAGAAGATACAGCATTACACTTCAACCTTGAAGCTGATAACTGAAAGGCAATTCAGCCTCCATAGTCAGCACTCTTTCCCTTGATTACTACAGGCTTGGGAATTACAACTACAGTGTTCTGTCCCAAAAGAAACTAGGTTGAGATGCACAGGCTCATTTCCCACATGCCACCGCAAAATGGCAGAGTCATCAGGACTCATCACTGTGCTAAAAAAAATCAGTCTTAAACTGAAAAGATAGGCCCTGTGATCTCTCACTTAAAACACACACACAAACAAACCAACCACAAACCATGCATACAAACCTTTTATTGTCCCTACTTGGGCAGAAAAACGGGAAAAAGACGACCATGTTGCAGTTTTTAAAAGCCTCAATCAATAGCATCACCTAGTGGTGAATCAAACACCACATACAAAACCTAACCTCTAAAAAAAAAGCTGTTACTCTTTCGTTGAAGGAAATATTTAAAATCTACTCTGGCTATAAAAGCACCTACTGGGTATTCCAAATAGCTTGCAATTTCTTTGAAATAAATTCTGTTATTTTTCATTTGTATACAAACATTTTTCTTCTTTTAAACTTTCACTCCTTATTAACACCTAACATCTAGATAAAAATTAACGACAGCAACTGACTGTTACATTCTTAATCTTTAAATTCCACAACTCTAAACATTAATATTAAGTTATCACTATGTCTTATGCTGCTATTTTACATTCTATACTGTATACTGTCAATTTGATTCACTGAGCATTTCTAACATCTCCAACGGATGTTTCCTCTTCAATTTTTTAAGGGGGAAAGTGCCTTGTGAACTTACTCGGAAGCTTTAGAAATTCTATTTCTGCCTCACGTACGAATATTGTGCACATGTATTACTATAGTTAAACACCTAATTTTATCTAAGAGAGAAAATATCATCATTGTTCTATAATCTATTTCTCTATGGTTATTTTCTTTTGTTAATACTTTAAATTATCATCTGTTTTTAATATTTCTTCCAGGGAAAGCAAGTTAAAAGACTGCAAAACCAGCTATACTTCACTGTTACGCTTCACAGTGAATCATGATGGAGATCTCCCCCAACTGACATTGACTGAAACCAATAAGTCTTAAATGGTGCAATACAGCATTGTACGGACCCAGCAATTCACATCTGTAGGAATACAGCAATGAGACAAACAATACTCAGGCAGACGGAGTTGTTTTCAAATCTTCACTAGCTTTGTGGGTATCACCACACAACTCCACAACACCCCCTGTTCCAGTGTGCACACTGATTCCAGCCCTCAGAGGTACAGAGCAAGGCAGACAACAAAAATTTGTTAAGACTTCTACAGAGAAATATGTTAGCACAACTGAGAAGGTAAAGGGATCCCAGCGACACAGGCAACAAATTGAGTTTCACTGGAGGCATAAATGGACACAAGAGAAAGAATTGGATATTGTATATGTATGCATATACACTGAAAGAGACACAACAGCACTGTATGGTGCAAATATTAAAAATGTATGTGTATTTGAATAATCAATGTGTCTTTTAGTGACTTAAAGCTTTTGGAGAATAAGAATGTCTCATTTCATTGAATTACCTAATACAAGAAAACATAAAGAAGAACAATAAAATACATTAAATGGCCAGGGGCACCAACCTCTAAAGAAAGAATTAAAAAAGCATGCATATTACAGATAAGCTACACAATGAAGACAAAGACATAATTAAACCTGAAAAACAACTGTGGAAAGCTAGCTGCAAAAAGGGAATGGAAAATTTAGGACGTGACCTATGACATTTAAAAGGGCAAATTAGGCTACTGAGCCTAGTATTAAATCAGACAGTAGAAAACATTAAAAAAGGTCTATTTTCATAGGCAAATACCTTTTCTTCCAATCCAAACTGCTTTCCACAGCATCTGCCTTATTACCGTACATTTGTACCTTAACTGGCTGGCAGAACTATTCCCTATTACAGAACATCTTCCTCCTGTTGTCATCGCTTTGTCACAAGATCCTGATTTCCAAACTCGGGGAGCAGGATTTCCCCACCTTACCTCCAGTGCTCTCTTGTAGTCACCCAAATGAAAGGCTGAGTATCCGATCCAAAGGTCAGCATCCTCCTCCTGCTCACCCACGTGCCGTTTAAACTTTGTAGAGAAGAAAGAATGTAAGAATTTTGTCAGCTGCCACACAGTTTATAAAGCCCCACAGATAATCAAAGTAATACTAGGCCATCTTATATCACGGATGGTTTGACAGCTGTGGATGCTACTGGGGTGGAGCTGCTCTCACATTTCTCAGGGAAGCAGCAGGCAATCCTCACATGCCAAACCCAGTTCTGCGAAGTGAGGGGAAAAGCTGCCGCAACAGGGCCTAACGGGTGCGGAAGGAGGCGAGGGGGACGCAAGGCTGGGTAAGGGTTCCCCTCGCCCCGCAGCCGTGGCGGGCACAGGCCTGGCAATGATGGTATCGCTCTCCGGAGGGGAGCGGGAGAGCCAGGGTGCCGGCGGCGCCGTCGGGCCGGGCCGGGCCTCCGCCCCCGCCGCGGCCGTTACCTCTAGCAAGGCGATCGCGCCGGTGAAGTCCCTCAGGGCCAGGAGCTCTTCCAGCTGCGGCACCTTCTTCCCTTTCTTCCTCCGCCTGTCTCCCGTTGGCGGGGTACCCCCCACGGCCGGCTTGGCCCGAGAGAGCATCTGGGCAGAGAACAGAGCGGGGCCGGGTCAGAGCGGGGCCTCGGCGGGGCTTCCCCCGCCCGAGATGGGGGAAGCCCAGGCTCCGCCGCCGGCGCCGTTGCCAGGGTAACCGCGGGACGGAGGAAGGCGGCGGCGCAGACCCGAGCGCGGCGGCGAAGAGGCTCCGGCTGGCGACTGGCGCCGCCCCCCGGGGTTCCGCCTCCGCTGCGGCGGGCGTCAGCCTCCGTAGCGACCACGGGAGAGGGGTCGGCCCCTCAGTCAGACTCTGCACTTGCTGGCACCCCGGACACGTAGGCCCCTGTGACTCGTGGTCTAATTCCAGCTGCTGGCACTTAAACCTCCATACACACACACACACACACACGCAGAAAAGGGAGTCCCCTCACCCAGGAAAACAGTTAGAAATGGCGTTTAAGATGAAGACAAGAGGCACTGCGCTGATGGGGCACAGGGCACGGCCAGAGGAATGTACTGACAAGCAACTGGTTCGCACGTCACCAGCCCCTTTTATCCCCCTGTCCTGTGTCCCATACTGGTTCCTCCCCAAACTCCCTCGATCTCTTCCTTTCCCCACCTTCGGTCCTTCACCTAAACATCCCATAATAAGTCTTGTGCAATCCCAAAATGCTCTTCCCTGGCATGCCATAATGAGTCTCATATGCTTGTAGTCAGCAACCCCCCTCAGTCTGTAAGGTGATCCAGAGAGCTTCTTCTGTTGACCAGAGAGCTTCTCCCGTTGATCTTGATGGGTTGATCACTCTCCTGTGACAGCCCTGTGGGGAGAGAATCCCACAGATGTTCATACCTCTTTGGTAAACATAGCCTCTCCATCTGTATTTCTAAAATTATAAGGATGGAGAGCATAATATAAAATGTTAAGTATGTGGGTTGTATACATTTTAACCGCATACAGTGGATGATCTCTATGGCAAACTCTGGATAATTTTCAAGCCCAGTTTGTTTCCTGTAGCATCTCTGACATTGCAGTTTGCTGTGAATAAAACAGATCTCTCCTAGTTTCAGAGGAACACCATGTGGTGGAATTCGCCAGACTTTCATTTTTATCCTGCCTGAATTGCACCATTAGCAATTCCAGTGCAGAGGACCAATACATTACACTACCGCCGACAACTCAACTAGCCAAATAATACATGTCCATGGACGGGACTAATGAGGTATCTGTATTTCTTCCATTTTTCCTTCCTTGAGAAGAAGAACTTTTTGCACTCCATCAGAAAAAAAAAGAGGCTTTTTTTGGTATGAATAAATATATCCTGTCACACTGCAATCATCTGTAACATAGTCCAGCAGTAAAGAATTGTGTGCTGCTTCTTCAGAGCATTGGTTCCACGTTCACCTTCTCCCGATCACTTCAAGATGGCTTGACCCAGGAATGACACACCCGGCTTGCAACTGCCCCCGAGAGGTTACTCTGCAACCAGGAACTGCGGGAGCACAACAGCACCATGATGGTGTCCCTTGCTTATGAATGTGCTTTCATACCACAGGCCATAAAGAAGGAAGGCAAATAATCCACTCTCCCACAGAGGATTTCTCTGCAAGAAATTAATTTTGAGTTAGTCGGTCAAAGTGATAAAGAATGTGTGCCAGTGATTTGGTCTCCTTTTATAGCTCTTCTCTATTAAGTAAGGTATTATTTCTGTCAGGAGAAAATTAATTTTCCATAAACAATTCTGTAATTATTTGCCTTTTCAGAGATTTGATTTTAAGTGGTTTTTTTATGTTGTCAAGATTGTATATATAGACTAATTCATTCAATACAGATATCTGCCCTCTTATCAGTTGTTTAGGAATTTCTATTATCTAACAGAACAAAAATTTCAGCGGGCTAGAAGGCTTAAGATTCTCCTCTATCAGAACCCTGTGAAATCAAGAAAAACATCTAGATTGACAGGGATATTGTAAGACGCCTTTTTCCTTTCAGATCTTAAACAATGCCTCAGAAGTACTTCATTTCAAACTGAAATAAAATAATAATTGTTGTAAATACCTCCCAGTAATTTTCAGTACTGCCAAAGAATAGTCTGGCTCCATACAGTAAGCTAGGAAAACTGAAGATTTGGGTTTAAGTTTTTTTTACTATACAAATGCCAAAGTAAACAGGGTAAAGGAGGAGAAACAGAAGGAGCAGAAGTTGTCACTGATGAAGGTGTTATATTTTTGTCTGAAATGCAAGCAATCAGACAGGACAATTAGGCAAGATTCTTATTTTTTGAAAAAAGTAACTGAAAATATAATTTTACTACATTGCTTTCTTCCATTTTTTATATAGATTCTTTCACAAGATCCTGCTGTTCTAAGAATCAACATAATAAATACGGTAAAATATTGACTCAATTGGAAGAAAGCTCTCAGCTGCTCCACTGGTTTCTCCCATTTCCCAGTGGCTTCCTGAATTCTTACGAGGTGGGTCCAAAGCTGGGGAATGTGTGAGAGCTAACAGATTTGCAGTGCCAGTGGGTTAGCTGTGGGCACAAGAAGGACAGTGTCAACTGAGATAAAAAGTAATAGCAGCCAAACCAGTTCCTTTTTATTTGCAGACAGTGTTTTGCATTGTGCCAGTGGGATTCCAGCATCTAGCTGCATTGTGGGGGGGATTTTATTGACCAAAAGTTTTGTGATCATGCGGAGCAGGGAGTGCTCAGAAGCATGACATTCTTCTCTGCTGCCAGCTCTCTGCCTGCCACGGGGAACTCAGATGGGAGACATCTTCTAACCTTAACTATGCTTTGGAGGCAAGTCCCCTAAGCACTGCCTGTACACACACACCTCTTTATGTGTAATTTTGCTGCCTCCAAAAAGATAACGTGTTCCATAAGGGTTAGCTTCAACTGAGCTTTCTTTATGTGTTGCCTCCAAAAAGATAACATGTTCCATAAGGGTTAGCTTCAACTGAGCTTCAACTCACCTGCAAGATGAGAAAGTAAAAATTTATTCTAACTGGACATAATGGTCTGGCTTCCAATTACAAAACTGGAGACACATTATATGTAAAGCAGAACTGTAGGTTACATTTAATAGCAAGGATCCTTCTTAGCTGCTTCAGCATGACTCAAACAGAGTTCTTCTGGTACATTCTCAAAGCTGTGACTCTACCTGTCAGATCGTTCCCTCATAGGTGAGGTCTACAGCAGTATTAAAGGACAAGGTGGTGAGTTTGGTTGTGATTGTAATCAATCAAAACCATAACGTAAAGCAGAACTGTAGGTTACATTTAATAGCAAGGATCCTTCTTAGCTGCTTCAGCATGACTCAAACAGAGTTCTTCTGGTACATTCTCAAAGCTGTGACTCTACCTGTCAGATCGTTCCCTCATAGGTGAGGTCTACAGCAGTATTAAAGGACAAGGTGGTGAGTTTGGTTGTGATTGTAATCAATCAAAACCATAGACTTTGCCATCAGAAGGGTTGATGATTATAAATTGCACAACTCAACAGGTGGGCCATGGATTGAACACAGCGTAAAAATTAAGTTATCTCCTGACTTGTAGAGGTGTTATCTGTACACAGTGTGTGAGCAATATAAGTAGGGGGCAAAATGCTAGAGTTTGGCATTATGGCAATTCGTGTGGACTCTCTGTGTACAGGAGTGGTCTAAAACCCATTCAGAGCAGTAGGAGTCTCCATTCATATCTAATGTTCATTAAAGTCAATTGTGTAGGAGGACACAGGTAATTTAATCCTGTATTCTCACCAGCATCAAATTGACCAAAATATTTTTAGCCTGTCTGGTGTAGAAATTATTATTAAGATGCAGACCAAAGTAGGTAGAGATGTTATAATCTTTTCCTCATATGAAATGCCAAGATGACACTTCATAAATTAAAGACAAGTCAAGAAGTTCAGCTACTCTATTAATAATGCTGGAAAACTGCTGCAGTTCTTACCATCACCGTTCTATTAGCTAGTGGCATTATCTTGGAGGCTGTGAGCTGTAAAATGACTGATGATCATGTTTATTCCCACACAGAATTGCTGGGAGAGAGGGAATTGACTTACACTGATAGCAGCAAAAGGGAAGTCATGCACCTGTGACTAAACACCAAGATAAGCATCAGACAGTGTAATGAGAGTGTTTAAATAAAAAATCAGAGAGTGGAAAGTGAGGTCTAAGAAAAGAATAGGAAGGAGGGGAAGGAAAGAAAAAAGGGAGAGAAACGAAAAGCAAGAAGTGGAAAAAAATCATCATATAACCAAAGCAAGAAGTTAGGAAGTGACCTTTGCATCAGCAACAATCACATGCTTCAATTTCTGTAATGTCTGGGTAAGATCATGTTTTTTCAGTAACGATACTTCACCATATTCTGCCTCTTGTATCTTGGAAAATGCATCTGACAACATCTCAAGATAAATGATATGCAAAAGTGAGAGCAATGAAATGCTCCCCTGCTAAAGCTACAAAGGCAATCCCCTGAGATGAGTAAATGGGAAATGATTCCTTTAAAAGCAAGGAACTTGAAGAATATTTGCTTCTTTTTTATGCAGTCAGCAACATCTGAGCCTTAATCTGCCCTGGATAGACCACCCATGATGAGAGAAGGCGAAATATGTAAGTTGACAGCAAAGACCAGCCTGCAGAAGTGACAGATCATGTGCGAGTTTAATGCTCTTGCCAGGTCTCTATTGCCCCGCTCAAGAAAGCAAACAACAGTTCTGTCAATTAAAGACCTCCAAACGGTGAAACAAAAATTCATAATTTTTATCTTTATTTTGGTAGGGGAACCTCTTTAGTTTTCACTGATGTTTATGTCTGTGATTGTATGGGTTCTTGGGAACTGTACCTTCAGAATTTTCCTGATACTTCCAGCACCCAACCTGTCATCAAGATTCAGTTAAGTTGATAAAAGTAACTTAAATGCGGTCCTTGTATTGGATTTCAGCATCACATTTAGGTAAGTTTTTGGAAGTTTATGTATGTAGAACCAAGGGAGGGGAGGCGAGACAATCTGCTGATCCAGCACCAGTCAGTGTCAGAACTGA